AGAAGCAAATGCTCAATATTACAAGTATTTCTCCAGCAACTAGATAAATCACCAAATAGTCTCTAAAAATGACATTGTTTCCGATAGATGTTCTTCTCGACTTCTTCCGCTTCTCTTTCCTAAATATAGCAAGAATGTACCCTTGAATATGCAAGTCAAGCGACGAAAGATTTCTTGCTCGATCTTTCCGAGCACTTTGAGTAGGGCGTGAGCACTTTCCGCGCCCTGCTCCCAATCGAAGGTCCCGGGGACAATGATTCATCTCAAAATATTTATTTCCATCTACTAACCATTAAATGAGTTTATAAGCCCAATAGAATCACTGTGCATTATTGGCAATTTTTGTCGAAAACTTTACATTTGACGTGGCGAACGGGTGAGCAAAATTCGCAATACCATTTTTCTTTGTTATTCCACTATAAAGTCACGTGTAGAATAGCAGCATTCACATTTTACTGGCGTTTCATTTTCGATTTGACTGCGTTCCATTCTTGCGGCCTGTTTCGTAAGTGAACCTGTGCCTTGCCGGCGATTCTTTATTGATCGTCCCGCGATTTTCATCTCTTGTCATCACAATCGCTCTGTAACCTAGTCGTTCGTCGACTTCATCATCTTCCAAATGACGTCGCTACTACAGATGGGCATATTTGGAGATTCGACCTCACCGTTTGATGAATGTATCGAGAAAGTTACTGCTGAGCATTTAACCAGTGAAAATTGGGCTATGATTCTTGATGTTTGCGACAAAGTAAACAGCGATCCACGAGCTCCGAAGAATGCTATACTTTCGATTAGAAAAAGGCAAGTTTATTTTTACTTTCTTATTCATTTTTTCCGACAGTTCTTTAGCAACTATTCACTTAGATAAAAATTTGAGTACTGTCCTGTTTCAATGTTCTTTTTTTATTTCAAGACTCAATCACCGTGACCCTCACGTGGTGCTCCTCGCGCTCTCTGTTTTGGATTCTTGTTGGAGTAACTGTGGACCAGCTTTTCGTAAAGAAGTGTCATCTGCTAGTTTTATAAGCGAACTCCAGTCAAAAGCTGTCCATGTGAGTATTTGAAGCTTTCTATGCTCCCTATTCGGCAATCTTTGTCTTGTCTGATATGCTAGTTATCTTACAGCTTTTTCCTTCTTATTGTTGCCCTTTCTTTTTGTTATCGAGGCTCACAGAGCTCTAGTTTTTCCTTTTTTTCCTCGTTTTAACTCTTGTTCTCTAAGAGCACCCGTTTGATCGCTGAGAAGACGAGGATGATGATCCAGAAGTGGGTAGAGAATGAGTGCAAGGCGGATGCATCTCTGTCGTTGGTTGTCACTCTCTACAAAAACCTTGTAGCCGACGGGCTCTCATTTACCTCAAGTGAGCCGAAGAAGTCAAACATCAACAAAGAGATAGAAGCAGTACGCATTTTTTTTT